ATATGCCAGGTGTGTCAAACTCAATTTCATTGAGGGCCGCATCAGGGTTGTGTTTGACCTTGGGAGGGGGAATTGGGCATGGCCAGGGTGGGCATGGCCAGCTCGACATCATTTGTGTTGGGGGCGCATGTAATGGCACGAATATTCTGCCAGAGAAAACGGGCTCCCGAGCTCTGTTTTTGGCTGCGATGGCCTCCTGTAACCATCTGCCAGCAAAAACAGGCTCCCAAGCTCCATTTTCACTGGCAGAGGCACCTCGGGCCAGTCCTTCACTGTTTCCAGGGTGGTCCTGCAGGGCAGATCTAAGCACCCCACAGACCGGTTTGACACCCCTGGTATATGCAATTACTACTTCTAAGATGCAGCAGTTTTGGAGATCACAATATATATTTAAACATATTTTTCTTTATATCTTCAACACAATGTTTGCTCATCCCTTTTCTCAACACATTCATGCACAATGTTCCAACAATTCCAAAATATTTTTTGTTCAATTAACTGTGGTCTTAAAATCTGTGGAAATTTTTGGTTTAGAATAGGAAATAAAGACTACCCACTGTTACACAACCTAAAGGTCTCCAATGTCTTATCTACTGATTCAATCTTAATTAAACTGGAATGTTGTCATAGTTAGAATGGTGTCATATGGACATTTGATTATTTTATTTCTAGCTTTTATTTTAAAATAATTTTAAAATCTTTAAAATAATTAAGAAAAAAACCCAATTATTTCTCCCTTATATGCTGTGCCAAAGAAAGCAAGGTCATTGAAATAAGCACAAAAATATAATTTGAATGATTTTGTTTACTATAACCATAACTGTATACTTTTTACCATGCTTAAGCTTATTGTTGTGTATACTTGTAGATTATTCTGTAGTTATTACTCTAACTCATGTGTTTTACCATAGCATCCAAAATATCTAGATAGATATGTATTTTCAACTGTATTACAGTGGTACCTCAGTACTCATCGTTAATTGGTTCCGAGAAATGTGATGAGTACCAAAAACAATGAGTACCAAATAAAATTTTCCCATAAGAAACAATGTAAATAAATGTAATGTGTTCCCAAACAAAAGACAATGCACATTTTAGGGCAACATTTAAAAAGAGAGGGTTTTACAACATTACTTTACATGAGAAATAAACATAGAAAATAATAAATACGTATATTAAATAAAAATAAAAACTTCACGTTACCTGTACTGATGAGAAAAGAAGCACAGAAATACACAAAATGACCCCCAAAGCTAAGACCACCAGGAGATGTACACAGAGGAAAACCTACTAACGTGTCATCCTTTGCTTTGACTGGAAGGGATAGCCAGTCGAATTCTAACTTGTGTGTTGACTACCAAACAAACAACAAATACCAAGGCAAAAAATTTTCATCAAAATGTGTTAAGTACCAAATTTGATGAGTTTCAAAGCAGTTGAATACCAAGGTACCACTGTGCTAACAGGTGTATGAACCTACTGAAATATTTTTAGCAATGATGCTATTAGAAGATAGAAATATATTCCAATTAAAATATTTATCAGTCTAGATTTTTACACTTTACTATATAAATATGATTTCAGACTCATTATGCAACATGTAGCAGCACACACTAACTTTACATTAAAATTCTAGAGCACAGACGTTGTGAAGTTAGTCCAGTTCATTTTACGTGATGTTATTAAAAACCTCTCAAGATGCTTTTCCTATCATTTGTTAAGAGTATTTTCCAAGAAATAAAACATTGGTTGCTTTCTTCATGGTAGATATTAATTGATGGATATAATTCAGTCAGAGAGTTGAAAAATGCACTAAAAATAATGGGGCATAACATGCTAGGGTTAACATTTATTCATAGATGATGCAATTAAATAAAATAGGCATTAACTTCAAGGTCAGCCACTAAAGTAATAAAACTGAATATTTTAATTGAATCATAATTGCTTCTTCTAGATACATGCAAGTCAAGTAAAATAGATGTCAGCACAGCAAATTATGATTCTTCCTCCTAATTAATTTCTTAATTCTGCATGGAGTTTTCTACAGCTTGGGCTTGTTGTAGGTTTATCCACCCATCCAAGTTTCTTTTCCTTATCCCCAGTGACTTCACATTTGGAAAATGCAATGTGATCTTGGTATTAAGATCCTGATCAAGAGAATACTCGTCAGTGTATTTTATCAAATTATCAATAATTGTTCATAGATCCTTTTGGAAATACATGTTTGGAACAGTTGGGCACAGTGAACAAAATTAAACTTTATGCTTGAATAATTATCATTTAAAGGGCACAATATCCAATAGCAATGCTATGTGTTGTTTGTAGACTTTGGTCCACAAATAACATCATCTCCCGACAAATGTGTTTTAGAAGAGAATAGTAAAAATACATCATGCTTTTTAATCTAAAATTAATACCACAGAAAGGAAAAAAAATGAAAGGATATCCTTGAAGTATATCAAAGAACCAGAAAAGATATAGGAAGGTGGAACAGCCTGTTGCTAAGTACCAAAAGTGGGAACAAAAACAAAAGGAAGTTTTGATTCCATATATTACCGATACTAATAAATGTTCCAAAAATATTTGGCCTTTTGCCATTAGAAGAAATAAACACTGAATAAAGAAACATGTGCTTTGGAATTTTCATTGTAGAAGAGGTGGGCAGATGCTTCGTGTGAACGTCAAGTGTAGGTTTCGACTGCAACTTTATAATTGGGATTGGAAATCTGTAACTTCCCCCAAATAACTGGACTCCATTTCTCATTGGCCCAGTCAAGCTGATTGATGGCATTTAAAATCCAGTACATTTTGCCTAGAGTTTACAGAGTTTACCTAGAATGTATTGCAGTATAAGTCCTACAAGAATAATGAGCTATGTTTTGCAGCAATAAAAATGGTGCATATAATTTCTGTCTGCTTTTTATGAGAATTTGAATCAGTGGAGGTTAACCTTGAAAAATAAATAGGTTTAGAGGAATAAATTTAATACTTTTCCCATGGCAGTGAGAAGTCTTTCATTGTTTAAAGTATGATCAATATTTTCTGATGCTGCTATAGTATTTATGTGACAAAAGATATGTATATGCATATTATCTACTTGCATATTATTATGTCTAGCTTGGGCCTAAGAAAGTGTTCAAGAAATGGCTGGGGAGAGCAAAATAAATCATTCTCAAGAATTGATATGGATTATTAAAAATCTCACAAATAAAATCTTAGAAGTTTGTATTTTGACCAAACCATTCTCAGATCACAATCCAAATTTTGCTTCTCAGAAAAAAAGATTTTGAATTTTAGCTGAAGATTGAATGATTCTACTTTACAAAAAGAGATGATTGTAAAGCATTGTAAAAAGAAATTAAACATTTTAACAATAATTTGGACAAATTGACTGATCTAATGACTGTCTATTTTATGGTAATAAAATAGGTAGGTGATAAGATGGTAAAACTAATCAGTCAATAAACTACTACTAATGACTGTCTGAGATGCCAGCAAAGAGGTTATGAAAGATTATTTCATACAATAAAAAGAAATCCCAGGGAAAGATGTAAAAGAAACTGGATGAAATTAGAAGTTAAGAGATTGAACTGCGAAATGGACCAAATTTTACACCAAATTGAATTGCTTTGTCAACAGCTGCCTGTATTAACAGTTTGAGAATTAGAAATTAAACTGAATTATGTGAAACAGAGACATTTTGAATTTGTAAATAAAGCAGGAAGATGATTGGCATATAAACTGAGAAAAGAAAGAGAAAAGGATAGAGAAAATTCAAGAAGCTGCTATGTAATAACAGACAGCAACCTTATTAAAAATCTTTTTACCACTTGTATTGCAGTTTCTATAAGAAACAGGAAGTACAGGTAGTCCTCGACTTACAACAGTTCCTTTAGTAGCTGTTCAAATTACAACGGCACTGAAAAAAGAGATTTATGACCGTTTTTCACACTTATGATAGTTGTTGCGTCCCCTTGGTGGCGTGAATATACAAATGAATATATAAATTAAACCATAGACTTTTCTTCTGTATTTAATGGACAAAGGACTTGGGAAAAAAATGGAATGTTGTTAAACATGTTGATAACGGCACAAAAGTGGAAATATATATTAATTCCCATAATGGAAGAACAGTTGGAAAAACTGAAGAAACTGATGGAACTAGCAGAGATGGCCAAATTAACTGCTTTAATTAAAGAAAAGAATACATTTAATTTTATTTGTATCTGGAAACTGCTTCTGGATTTTGTGCTAGAAAAATTTTGAGATAGAAAAAAAAATGAAACTTTTGGGATTTACTGATTAGACTTTTTGTTTTGTTATAGAAATGTCTAGCATATATTGAATATACAAAGTAAAAAAATGAAGTTGTAACATTATTATGTTCATTCTTCTGCATTGAAAAGCGTAGGAAATTAATGCTTTTTCCCCTTTTGTCCCTTTATCACATACTTCACTTTTTTTCTTTTCCCATTATTTTCATTTTCATTTATATCTTTTATACTTAAATAACTTCAATAAAATTATATTATAAAAAAAAAAAGAAATGGCTGGACTGAGAAGAGAAATAGCTTTAGTAATAATTGTAAGTTTATCAATAATACAATTTAGCCTTAGAAAGCTGTGTAGGGTGATACCTTTAATATATGTTATAGAGTTGTCAAGTTCAGCTGAGTGCTTCTTCATCATAATATGTACATTATAATTTGCTTTCTATTTTATAATATTTATTTGAAAGTAAGCACTAAAACAATATATTTTCCACTCGGTGCACAGGGCAAAGGAAACGAACTTATTTTTGCCCAAGATAAAAATCAGCAGTTCAAAGAAAGTAAGAGAATATGTTCTGGCTAAGGACAACTTTGTTTCCCCAAAGTTATTTTTGGTAAACAGGAATTGGGGTTTTTTTTAATAGTTTGTTTTAAAATGTTAAAAAAAGAGTAAACTGTGACACCCAAACAGTACTTTGTTCTCTAAAATACATTTAAACCTTTTGACAGGTTTAGATCCAGATAAACATCTAGGAAAAACATTGGATGAAATGGAACCTTATCTTTTGAAAGTAAGTATTATTGAAAGTATACATTAAATATATGGTGCTTCAAAATAATAAATTTCCTGTACACAAAAGAATGCAAGTTTAGAAAGAAAACATTAGGTCAAATTTAGCAAACTGAATATATATATATATATATATATATATATATATATATATATATATATATATATAAATCTATATGTATAGTTTTCCTAATCAACAAATTACATGTAATCTATTTCTTTGAGAACAGTTGATTAAAAATAAAGTTTGGATTCATGCTTAAAATTGATTGATTGATTATGTGCCATCAGGTCAGTGTCACTTCTTAGCAATCTCATAGTTTTTCTACAGCAATCCTGCTTAAAATAGACCTACTGAAGTTAATAAAGTTTTAATTAGTAAAGCATAATGGTGACTCCTTGTCTTCATATTCTTAATGTGGCAATGATTGGATGCGGCTTACTATTTTTCTTTATAATGGTAAAAAATTCTAAAAGGAATGCGTATTTTGGTAAGAATTGCCAAGAACTGACTTGGACTCAAGGGGAATTTTTACATAACCTTTTAGACTAGGGCTCCACATACTTCTGGAATGATTTGGAAGAAATGTTCCAGACATCATTCAAATGTTGCCTGCTGTATTCATTGAAATATTATTTTTATACAGCTTTTGCATAACCCTGGAAAAAGAGTCTTAGTTAACCCATTACATTTAATACATTCTTAAGACAGCTGCACCTTTTTTCAGGCTTAACACTGTGGGAAGGTAAAGAATATAATGCATTCTGAATTTGATCTTTCAATATATCAAACAAATACAAAAACCACTATTTTTCAGGAATAAGATGAAGCGGAATATGAAATTTCAGAATACAAAGTTTGCTACATAAAATATATTTAATCAGTCTCATTTCTTGAATCTGACAATTATTATGAGTTGGTTCTACTTCTTAATATTTATTATTAATAGATTTCTGAATAATGGAGATTTTCTTGCATTGAGACAAACTTTAATGTGTCAGTTTAGTTTTTGATTTAGTTTGTTTCCTCTTATTATTATTTTTTAAAAATTTGATTTATATGCCGCCCTTCTCCGGAGACTCAGGGCAGCTTACAATGCGTTAAGCAATACCCTTCATACTTTTGTATGTTTATACAAAGTCAGCTTATTACCCCCACAAACTGGGTCCTCATTTTACCTACCTTAGAAAGGATGGAAGGCTGAGTCAACCTTGAGCCTGGTGAGATTCGAACTTACAGTAATTGCAGACACTGGTGTTAATCACAATGCTTTTAGTCTGCTGAGCCACCAGGCTCTTATTGAAAACTTCCTACTTGTCAGCAGCCATTTTGAGGTGGAGTCAGCACACTTTTTTCTTCCTGCACAGGTAGCCTTTGTTTAGTGACCATGATTGGAACTAGCAACTTGATTGTTAAGCGAAACAATTGATAAGTGAAACTGTGACTGTACTTATGTACTTTTTTTTTTTTAATTTGATTTATATGCCGCCCTTCTCCAGAGACTCAGGGCGGCTTACAATGCGTTAAGCAATAGCCTTCATACTTTTGTATATTTATACAAAGTCAGCTTATTGCCCCCACAAACTGGGTCCTCAATTTACCTACCTTAGAAAGGATGGAAGGCTGAGTCAACCTTGAGCCTGGTGAGATTCGAACTTACAGTAATTGCAGACAGCTGGTGTTAATCACAATGCTATCAGTCTGCTGAGCCACCAGGCCCATTTCAGCTTTCCTTTGCTTTACAGACTTGCAAAGGTAATAAATGTGAGGATTGGTCTTGATGTTACTTTTTCATCATCATTGTAACTACAAAAGAATGCTAAATGATGCAATTGCTAAACAAGAATTATGTGTATAAGCATTATGTTGTATATTGTAGTTATATTATAAGTAGTCCTTGACTTGCAACCATTTTTTTAGTGACCATTCAAAGCACCTGAGGGCAGGAAAAGAAGCGATGGGTGGAAACTAATCAAGGAGAGAAGCAACCTAGAACTAAGGAGAAATGTCCTGACAGTTACAACAATTAATCACTGGAACAACTTGCTTCCAGGAGTTGTAAATGGTCCAACACTGGAAGTTTTAAAGAAGAAATTGGATAACCATTTGTCTGAAATGGTATAGGGTTTCCTGCCTAAGCTGGGGGTTGGACTAGGAGACCTTCAAGGTACTTCCAACTCTGTTATTCTATTCTATTCTAAAGTTACAAAGGCACTAACAAGTGATTTATGACCATTTTTCATATAACTATTGCAGCATTCTCATGGTCACATGATCAAAAGACGTTTGGCAACTGGCACGTATTGATGATGGTTACAGTGTCCTAAGGTGTGATCACCTTTTGTGACCTTCTGAGAAACAAAGTCAATGGGGAAGCTGTTGTTCCCCATTGCTGCTAGTAACATAACCGTGTTACTAACTAACCAATTGCAGTGATTCACTTAACAACTGCAGCAGGGAAAGTCATAAAATGGGGCAAAACTCACTTAACAACTGTCTTGCTTAGCAGTGGAATTTTTGGGCTCAATTGTGGTGATAAGTTGAGGACTTTCTGTATATCCTTTTCAATGATTTGTCATTCACTTTTATCACGTGTTACAGAAAATCGTTGCACTGTCCTCGCAAACCCACAAACATCCATGCATACTCAGACACATGAAAGCTGGGATCAGATCCATGTGAGCTTTTAAAGTCACATATTTTTGCAACCTTCTAAAGGTAGAAATATTTCTTTTTCCTCATATTATTTTGCTTTTCATGCATTTTGTCATGGTTGAACCATGACAGTTGGAGGCCAAAACTACAGCAGTGTTAAAGAACATTGCTCAATAAATTCTTATTTTGGTTGGGTTTGTGTTTCCCAGTAAATGTCAGCATACATAAATATTTTACTAGATATTTAGCTAACTTTATAACTTAGTGAAACTGAAGCATAAACACCAGCTGCAGAGAAAGTAAAGGCTATAGTTCTAAAAATATTTTCTTTGAATGTTGTCAGGGGGTGGTTTGTGTGTGAGAGAGAGATTGTGAGAGGGAGAGAGATAGCAGTATCAGAAAGAAATTGGCCAAATGCTTTTTTAGACATTTGTTATAGGCAAGATCTAGTAGCTCAATATCTTAATCCCCTCTTTATTTAAAACAATATAATCCAAATAATTACTTAATTATAATTATATAGTGCATTTATATAAACTGCAAGTTTATATAAATAATTATATAAACTTGCAGATTCCAGTCTTCAGATTTTTGACAACTTGAATCTAGAAAATTCTAGATGACAAAGCTTTATCTGAAGACCAACACTGCCTTTAAGATGTAAAATTAAAGTTATATCTTAAAATTCTAAGGGCAGCATTCACAATATTAAACTACTGTGCTGCTGTCTGTAGCCTTCTTTGATTTTTTTTAGAACAGTGTTTCCCATATCTGTCACCTTCCAAATGTGTGGACTTCAATTTTCAGAATTCCCAAGTCAGAATTACCATAACTGAGAGTTTTGAAGGTTGAAGTAGGTACATTAGCTATTGGGAATCTACACTTTTTGGATTCAGCTATATTTTACAACTACCCTTCCCCTGGGGAAAATTGTTAGATCCACCCTCATCCAGTATTTACATTTTCTTCTACCTTAATTAATTTGACCATTGTAAAGCTTCTAATCTTTTGGTGCCTTCCAGAGCACCAGTTGTATGTCATTGTTTGATTGATTATGCCCCATCAAGTTATTTTTGACTCTCAGTGACCATTATGTACATCACGCTAAACTCATTCATATTTGTACTAAGAGTGACTCATATTAAATTTTAGGTATTGTCTTTTTTTTTAATCCATTGTGATTATACAAAAAAGACTGGAAGCTATTGTTTCTCACACTTTTTCCATAACAGATTATTTATACGCCTGATCATTAATAAGCATATAAAAAGTTTTATTTGTTCTGAGATTTTTCTACTGATAGCCAGAGCATGCTATTATTCCTTAAGACAGAGTTCCCCAATCTTTCCGCCTTTGCAGATAGGTGAGGTGGGGGGAGAAGGGATAATTCCGTGCGAGTGTCTGGCAAGCACACGCATGCGAACAGCTCTACTTACATGAGCTGCGGGCACACATACTTGCCACTTACACAACTGGAGCATAGATACTTGTCTGCTGCTCACGCAAGTGGGAATGTGCACATGTGTGTGCTCGCCTACCACTTCCATGGCCCAGTTCTGAATGGCTCATGGCCTAGTAGTACGCCGCAGCCTGGGGGTTGGGGACCCCTGCCTTAAAACATAGATGCATTTATACAATTTTTTTTTAAAATGAAAAGGACAAATCATTGTGTCCTAGTTATAATGGGCTATATTAAAACTGTTTATAATTTATTTATGCACCATACTCACTCACTCCCCCCCTCTCTCTCTCTCTCTCACACACACACACCATGCTTTATTTTGACAAGGCTGACTCTGTTCTCATCTGGCATGTCCATAAAAGAGACTGGAAACTATTGCTTTTGTTTTAGAATAACCTTGAACTGTGGTCAGTATGTTAACTGTAGTAGCTATACTAAAAAGGTCAAAAGTTCCTTGTTCTTTTCCTGCTTGTTTACTGGAGATTTGTCTGGAGTTCAAATAGTTCACTCACTGTACCTTCAGAAGCAGGCACATCTCATTGTATGGATATGTTGCCTGCAGTTAATTGGGAAGAACTTCCAGCAACAGGAAGCTAAGATATTCCACTCCAAGCAGTTATAACACCAGTGGGAACTCTAAAGTGTTTGATCTTGAGGTCCAGGAAGGATTTGTGGCACCAAAAAGGCATTATTAGAATAAATAATTTTAGGAAACTTGTAAATATTCTTTTTCTTATTGGGAAGTGCTTAATGGATGCTTCATTGAGGAAGAACAATCATATATTTTGTTCCAAATAAAGCTACATTTTGTAGCCACTTCTCCCAGGAATGGTTTCCATTTCTAGCAGCTTTCCAAGAGTAATTTTGGAAAGAGGAAGAATAGTTGTTTTAACTAACTGCTTTGTAAGTTAGCCATCCTTGCTGCATCAGCATTAATTATTCTTGATAGATTTGTCTTGCAAGAACTTTACAGCAGCTTCTGACAGGTGGAGCTATACTTTTTGCCAGCAGCGTAACCTTTGGAAGTGAAAGCTTGATTAAAAGAAAGTTTGGTTATTTTTAGACAAAGAAATTTAGGCAAAGAGATATTTGCTCATTGAAAGGAAAATGTCTGATAACCCAGGACTCGAAAAGATAATTTGATCTATTCTTGAATAAAAATACATATATACTTATACATATAAAAATACATATATACATACATGTATATATTTATATGTATTCACCTAGCCATCCAAAATGTGTTAATAGACATGATTCTATTATATGACAGATAATATCTTCATTTGAGTATATATACATGTTTTCCTAAATAAAATACTGAAAGTGAGAAAAATGAAAAGAAGCTTCTTAAATATACCTTAAATCAACTGTTTGATTAAAATCAAATACAAGAATTAAGTCTGGGTATATTTTTTTCTTTCAATTAAATATCCTGGACTTTGTACAGTTTAGAATTCACTACTCTCTCAGTCACTTTACCCAGCAGGAGATTGGACTATAATTTCCCATCTATGATGGATGCAGGGAAGGCTTCTAAAGTAGATGCATAATAATGGCCTACTAAAGAAGGAGGCACCTTGATGTCTTTTAGAAAGGCATTTAAATTAGCAACTATCTGTACCCGGCCTCGAGTCGGTGAAGGGTCCCATCTCTTGGTTGTGTTAACAACCATTGATTGTGACATCCTTCTTAGCTACAGTGTATTTTAATTTTTGTATATATAATGATAGTTTGTTTCTTAATTTATTTTAAGATTGTTCATTGCCCACAGTCACTTGCTAAAACAGGCAGCCATACAAATTGAATAAACAAACAAAGGAAGCTTTAGTTCTTTCCTGCCTAATTTGTCGGCTGAATCAGGAACCACAGGACAAGGGCAAAAAAAAATGGGATTCCGATATGCAAAAAAAATCAGACCTATGAAATATTTCAAGTAGAAACTATTATTAATCCAGAAGTCATTTGCAACCTACAGTGTACAGACTGTGAGAAGGGAGTAAGAAAAGCAAATAGAAGATTGGCAGAATGCATCAACAAGCATCAACAGGCTGCCAGGAGACATGAATGAAAATTCATTAATTTCACAGGACATACTGTAGGTAAATGCAGTTCAGTGTCAGTTAGGAAGCTCTAGACATTTTAGATCAAACTAGGGTTAAAAATGCTACATAATTCTTAGAAGCTTGACAAATGGTACACTGACATATTAGAATTAAACGCCATTTATGGAGTGCTTCTCAAATGTGAGTTTCTTGACATAAAATCTGGTGATGATATAGTCTAGTCTGGCAATTAAATGTCTGTAAGAAAAAAATCAGACTCAGAGACCACCAAGGACCCAACAAATACTCCTCTGGTGGCTTTCCATTGGCCATTTGTATTAGATCTCCCTTAATAATTTAATATTGTTATGCCACTTCAGACAGCTAGTCCTTTGTTGATGCTAGCAGTGTCAAGAAATTCTCTGAAGACTATGAAAGACTAGGTTTGATAGAAAGACATGATGCATATCAAACAGCTCAAATTGGCCAGTTTCCCATTGTCTGTATTATTGATGAACCATCAATAAATTTGGGGATTATCATTCATAATTTATGCAATAATTGTTATCTGAACATTATGTGAGTTTTTTCTCACTTTTGTATCTGTGTTATGCCTTGTCCAGTGCACCTGAATTCTTGATCTGGTGTAGAACTATATTTGATAGTAATATAGCTGAATTGTGTGTTGAATAAGGATTTGCACGTTGATTTCAGTAGCCTATTGGTAGCATTGTAAAGATCAAGAGTTCTAGAGACCTGTGATTGAGACATGATACTTGTACCAACTCTGAAAGTGAATAAATGGGGCTACCTCAGTTGCTATAATTTTCTGACAACTTTGAGACCTGACACCCAACTTGCTTGCCTGATGTAGAAATAACAGCATCTTGAAATAATAGCACTCATTGCCACTCTTCAACTGAAAATATTTATCATACCTAGATGAGGATTGAACTGAAAATAGAAGCAGCATCCTGTTTTAGGAATAATATAAGTTGCCATCCTATGGTTGTTTCATTGATTTGATCAAGTCTCATTTAACAAAGAGGGACTGATTTTTCAATATAGATGTGTACATTTCAGTCATACAAACCCTAATATGCTGTTAGCACTATAATATACCTTTCAGTACTGCACATTCTGGCATATTTCTCACTTTGTTTTTTACAGCCCCTGCCTCTAGAATGAAGTTCTTCCTGAAATCCAGAGAACTCCCCTCCCGTCCCCCTATCCCCTCCCCCCAATCCCTGATAGTGTTCAAGAGGTTCTTAAAACCTGGCTGTTCTCCCAGGCTTAGAGTGGTTAGAGTTCCTCGCAAGTTTGGTTGATACATCTTTTTAATGTTGAAGCTGCATTTGGTTTGTGTTTTTAGTTAGGCTTGCCAGTTTTTTTTTCCTTTATTTTTTCCCCCTTATCTGTTGGTTTTGTCTTTTTGAATTGTACTGTATTCCTTTGATGTATTCTGGGTAAATTGAATTCATTTAAATTCAGTTTATAAGAACTCTTTGTACCATTCCTGAAAGCATTTTCTTTATTTTTCAGCTTTCTCAGAAGTATGGAGTCCATATCTGTGGAGAAGGGGGAGAATATGAAACATTCACATTGGATTGTCCTCTGTTTAAGAAGAAAATCGTTGTGTAAGGACCTATGTCTTCTCTTTTCTTTAAATGTTAGCACTGGGACCATACTAATATTTAGCTTTAGGCCACTTTTCTTGGCAGCAGCAGAATATGTCCTCTAAGTTCACAAATACCCACTTTGTTTAACACTGGCAAAGCCCTCCACTAACCTAAATCAATGCCTGACAAGATGGGGCCTTCATAGAAAGCTATAAACTTTTTAGACATTTGCACTTTCGTTTACTTGCTGATTATGGCCTGCAGTAAAACTGGTACCTACACACTGACACTTTTATCCTTTCATGAAGTGCGAATTGCCAGTAATATTTATCTTTCATTACAGCTACATTTGATAAACTGCCACATCAGTAGCCTGTAGGTTCCATTAACTCTATTTCCCTTTTCTCTCTCATTCTCCCTCCCTTCCTCCCTCCCACCCTTCCTTCCCCCTTTTTTTACCATTTTAATATTAGCAACTTAGAATGATCATACTAAACATTTTGCTTGAATTGCTGAAGGACGCTTTGGAATGCTAATGTTTTGAACCTTTTCAGTTTGCCCCGAGTTATCTTTTTTTCTATATATTCTTTAAATGTATGTATAGATTTATAGGAGAATTTATTATAACTATGTAGATTTGTCAATATAATTATGGTAAAAAAGTTAGGCTGAATGTATTAAGGAAAATATTTCAATGAAACCCCTTTCATCTGAATTTACAGTTTCTGGTTTATCCCATGTTCAGATCAATAACTGCAGTGAAGAAGGATAATTTGTTTCTAGACTCCAAATGTCCCACTTGGGAGTAACCCCAGGTAGATACAGTTTGACAAAATTATCTGAGAAGTAGAATATTTCAAGAAGAAAATTACCCTCCTAATAAATGTAGGAAATGTTTCTGACTGAATGCATCAACTGCACTGTCTCATAAATAATATGTAAATAAATAATCATACTCCGAAGCATATAGAATGCAAAGGGCCAGCAACCTTCTCAAACCTTATTGATTTATTTTACTTCTAATGCCAACTAGTATATTTATTTATTTATTTTATTTTTCAAAATTTATATGCCGCCCTTCTCCCGTAGTACTCGGGGCGGCTTACAAGATAAAAACAATATAACAATGCAATACTAAAATTAATCAATTTAAAAATCCCCAAACGATTAAAAAGTCTTACAACAGATCAGGGAATTTGCTGAAAAAGCCATGCCTTCAGCTCGGCGCGGAAAGTGCAAAGGTCAGGGGCCGTCCGGAGCCCGGTGGGTAACCCATTCCAGAGGGTCGATGCGGCCACAGAGAACGCCCTCATCCTGGGGGTCGCCAGCCGACATTGTCTGGCCGACGGCACCTGCTGGAGGGCAGCCCTATGTGAGCGCACTGGTCGGTGGGAGGCCGGTAAGAGGTGGTCCTGCAAGTACCCCGGGCCCAGTATACTCATAAGTACATTGTTTGGAGATTATGAAATGTATGTTCCAACTTATCTGGAGGTCACCAAGTTGGGGAACGTTGAGCTTTAAAATATGTTAACTCACCAAATCTTGCTGTTAGCTATGTAATGAGTATTTTCAGATTTCCTAGGGTTTTTTTTTCTTATAAAGTTATTTTAGTATAATGCTTATAAATTCTCATTTGAATCAAGATTGAGTACAAATCCTTTAAGTTCAGCTTCACTTCTATTTTATCCCAAATGAATAAAATAATTTATTTCATTCATTAAATCCATTTATTTTTCAAGGAGGCCATTTCACACATAGTGCTAAAATTCTTCAATGAAAACCTCTGGTGGGTATGAACTGCCTTCTCAGGTAAGGCAGATATTTTCCATAAAGATATGGTTCTTTGTGGTGATACCCAATACCTTTCCTTTGGACTCCAAATCCCCATCCCTTTACTTTATGTTCCAAACAGAAGTTCCATCTGCCCTGGACGGTATAAGTGGCACCCATTCACATTATTAGGAGGAAAGACTGTAGTCATTTGCAACTGTTACTTATTAAAACCAGCCCCAATTGAAACTGATTTAATGTCATAAGTGGTTAATATAATTACTAAGAAAGGAGAATGTTTGTAGCACAGGGTTGACATGAGAGGTCCTTGATGCTCTCTGAGCTTGCTTGTTTTGTTGCAGACATTTCATTACCCAAACTAGGTAACATCATCAGTGTATCAGAGCACTGATCATCACTGATGATCAGAGCACTGATGATGTTACCTAATTTGGTTAATGAAACGTCTGCAAGAAAACAAGCAAGCTCAGAGAGCATCAAAGTAGTATAATTCTTATATTATAAATCTATGATACATCTGATTATTTATTTTTCTTTTGTTTATGGAGATTCTTAATCATCCAAGTCATGATTGTCCTAAACTTTCTAGTTTTTTTTTTCTTTGAAAATGTTTTAATGGGGAATGAAAGGATTTATATTTTTTGAACAATATAAATCCCTCCATTACCCACTAGAAATGTTTTCAAAGAAAAAAACCAAGAAAGCCTTTGAGGAATATAAATCCTTCCATTTCCCACCAATCAGTTAGAACTGAAGAAGCTTCTTGGATGAGAAGTGAAATGTTTCACAGAAGCAAAAAAACCCATGAAAGTCCAATTGACTTTTGGATTATTTTTGTTTTGTTTTGCTTTCAAAAGCAACACAGCAATACTATTTTTTTTCCAATGCACTTTTAAAATTTTGTTTTATAGGGACTCATCAGAAGTGATTGTGCATTCAGCAGATGCATTTGCCCCTGTGGCTTATCTCCGCCTGTTAAAGTTGCATTTGGAAGATAAGGCAAGTCCAACATTAGGAAAATGATGGGTTTCTTTCTTCAAATAATTATTTATATATTGGGATGAAGTGTTGTTTTTACATTTACTAATATACATCTGGAAACAAAAATGAAATTGTTTGAAATACAAATGATTAAGAAATTGTTCGTGGAAAACAGGAATGTGTTTGAAGCAGAGCCATCATTTGAGAAGATTGACTGTTAGATTGATTGATTAATTAATTGATCTATCTATCTATCTATCTATCTATCTATCTATCTATCTATCAATCTATCTATCTATCTATCTACTCCCCCCCTCTTTCTCTCTCTCTGTCTCCATGTGTATATGTGTACTTATATATTTGAGTGAGATGTACAGACACCTTAGACATATGTAGGAATATTTATTTTGATCAATATTTTCTGTTTAGAAAAAGAATGTGATTTGATAATAATTTTAGTGCAGGTAGAGGGAAGCAATGGCTCATCAGTAAAGGACTGGAAAGTTGACAGCCTGGGTTCAAGATCCAACTGCTGTGCAATGGGTTGAGCTCCCATTACTTGCCCCAGCTGCTACCCACCTAGCAGTTTGAAAGCATGCAAATGCAAGTAGATAAATAGGTACCATTTTGGTGGGAAGATAACAGCATTCTGTGCACCTGGGTTTATGGCCACATGACCATGGAAAGGTCTTTGGACAATGTTGGCTCCCTAAGCTAAGAATCGGAAATGAGCACTGCCCCCTAGAGTTGGAAATGACTGGACAGGGGAAATCTTTACCTTTTAGTGCAAGTAGCATAATAGTGAAATGATATGATCAACTCACCAATCTCTCTTGAACAGAATTGTAGAGAATATGGAAGCTTTATTTATTTATTTATTTTATTTTCATTTATTTATATGCTGCCCTTCTCCAAAGGACTCAGGGTGGCGAACACAAATTAAAAACATACAATAATAGAAAATCCTAATTAAAAACCAATTAAAACAGGATAAGTAAATAATATAACCCAAGGATCAGACTCAGCCCAGTTGTTGAAACAGCCAAGTCTTTAGGCCTCGACGGATAGATAGCCTTGTTAAAGCCATAAAGATAAATGTTGCTTATGAGAAGGAAAATACAATTTTAGGTCAAGTAATCCTAGCCCACCACTTTCTTTAGCATCTTGCAGCAATTTATATTTAATTCTTGTTTTTTATCTTGCCATACAGATAGTTTTCAATTTACAACCGTAATTGTGACTAGAATTTCTTGTGCTAAGCAACACAGTTGTTAAATGTGTCATGCCTGATTTTACAACCTTTAAGCAACTCCAACTTTCCCATTGGCTTTTCTTGTCAGAAGATGGCTGAGAAAGTTGCAAATGGCGATCACATGACCCTGGAACATTGCAACAATCATAAAATACATGGCGGTTGCCAACCACCTGACTATTGATCACATGACTATGGGGATGCCACAATGGTCATGTGAAGATCAATCATAAGTCACTTTTCTCAATGCCATTGTAACTTTAAACAGTCATTATATGAACTGTAAGTTGAACATTATTTGTATACATTTAGAAATGTCTTTCTGATATTGTTTAAATAGTACATTGGTCATCATGATTGGTATTATCGGGAATAAAAATAACATCCTAGGCAAAGCATTCATATTTATTACTGAAATTCTATCCAACAATGACAACTGTATAAGTAGCACTCAGCTTTGAAGTTATGACAAATCTCCCCCAAAGTATTTAAGATCTGATTTTGAAATTTGGATGGTTGAAACCCCTCCACCCACCCCAATCACATGACTGCATTTCAGACACTCATCAAAAAAGTTGTAAAATTTGGTTGGTCGTGTGATGATTTGCTTTACAAATATCATGATTTATTACCATAATGGGCAAGCTCATGGTTTTGTAAATTGCCTTCTGTTAAATGAAATTTCACAATTTGCTGTGACCTGCATATCAGTTATTCTGTGGTTGTAGCCATTATCTGAAAACTCCAAGTATGCTTCCTGATTCCCAAATTTTTAGAGTCTCTGACTGTCCACGAATAGTTCTTGATTTTGTTGTGAGCTGCAAAACTTTATGGAGCAATCTGAACCTGAAAAAACAATAGTTATCATTGGAACTTTTTTTTGTGTTTGCCTTTAGCATTGTCTTTAAAATTCAGCTTCTTCATGGAAATATTGTCTTTGTCCCAAGACCATGTTCCTCATTTTCAAATATAGCCTTTTAGTACATACTGTACCGTGTTTGACAAGGATATTGTTTAGCTGTGCAAAGCTTTAAAATATTACTGTGAGACTAAAAATTATGCTGGCCGACTATGTGAAGTGAAACCAAATAAACTGAATAAGAACACTCCTGGAGAGACGATAAAAAAGTGGAAATATATTAATATTTCTTAGGGGCACTGACTTTATTGCTCATGGCAAACTTGATGCTAAAATGCTTCATACATCACTACAATGTGACAGGCTAGGGAAAATGAAAAACACAAAGCTTTACATAAATCAGGCAAAAATCTTATTAAAATGCATAATATTTTATATAAGAATCAAGATTTTACTTTTATCTATTCAGAAGCTCTTTCCCTCTTCTTAGTAGATATTTAAGATTTTGTGAAAGACCCACAGTTTCAAGCTGTTTTATAGCAAATCATATTTCAAATTCATTGTAGACAAAGCTGTCACGTTCTTTAAAAGCAAGCATCATGGAATTCTGATATAGATTTTGGTGTATACAGTTAATGTCTTGTAGAATTAAGGAGGAAAATTGTTTATTTTGTGCTTTGATGGAATCATAGCAAAACCTATTACAATTTTCAGATTAATTTATTTTCTGTCAAGTAATGAATGAGTTCTATGTTATTTATTCTATATAAATTGAGTAAATTATAACTTCACATACCCTACTTTTTAAGAATAAAATTATGTCTGTCCCCCCTGTTGCCCTATTTAAAGGTTTGATCACTTAAGACTAAGAAGTTGGTCATGTTGACAAGAAGCACATTTTATCTTTTCTTTCTTTCTATTCTTCTAAAACAGGAATAAAAGTTTTTTTAACTTATTAAAATGCATTAACTCATTTTATGTAAAGTATTCCATGCTTTCAAGCTAAGAACGTGGTTAAGCATGTTTTAAGACAGAAATTTAAGCAGACTTAATTGTACACCAATTGAAGGCAGATGTTAAGAACTGCTTAACTATTTAATCCTGTAATAAAAATGGAGGAATAGAATCCTAAAGTCAAAACAGTATATTTACTATGCTTAATGGAATTCTTAACATTCCAGAGCATTAGAGAATACTCATAGATATTATATTTGTATAAGTGTATGTGGATCTGTATGCTCAAACTGTACTGTATGCATATATTCTAAAATGCAAACATTACAATCTTATAGGTTTAAAAGGTAGAAGTCAGTAGAATTTATGGATATAATATATATGGTTTTCATGGCAGCATTAGTTTGCTATTGGGCTATTATTTTTGGGCTTTTTGCAAGAATGCTTTGAGAACCCAGCCTTATCTTCAAGTTTGACATTCCCTGGAAGTCTCCCATCCAAGTTTTAATCAGGTCTACCTCTGCTTAGCTTCCAAGCCAAATAGAGCAAGTTGCTGCTGAGATTGTATAGATTTAGCATTTGTAATTTGTGTTTCCGGGATAGAATAATTTATCACTTATGGTTTAATTTACAGGAGTAAGCCACACTCACCTCAGTAGGACCTATTATTGAGGTGTATCTAACTATCTAAATAAGCATGATATATAGGCCAAAGTGATACCAGTAGCGGGAAGAGTACTTGGGGCTGTGACTCCTAAACTGGGAGAGTGGCTCTAACAGATCCCAGGAACAACACCAAAAAGTTCTAGCTTGCACTTGAGTAACAAACAATAAATACTGGGACAACATTTTCTCATCAAAATGTGTTGAGTACCAAATTCAGCGAGTTTCCTTCAGTTTCCCTGACCTCTGGTAGAAGACCTGAAATTGAGGAAGACACATGCCACCTATAGGGGTGAGAAGGATTCTCTTTTTAATAGTATAAATGTATTCACACATACACATATATATCTAGCACATAGAATGAGATAAGCACACACTTAGAATTCTTCAAACAAAAATATATTCACAATTTCAAAGGTAAAACTTATAAATATGTTTATCCATCTCAAACAAATAAGATCATGAGTAATAAGTAATAGCTTAGCCTAATCACTGTTCTCTTACCTATACTCTCTTTTCTCTTTTTTCCCCCACCAAGCATATTTGTGTCTCTCCTCCCCTTATCTATCATTTCTCCACTGACATTCTTCACTTGTCATTCACCCGGACTCTACTAACCATTCCACTCCACTGCTGTCAATCACTCCTAACTCACTCTTCAGTTACAATAGGAATGCAGCCGTAGCCATTTAATTATTCTTGTCAAGTTACCAACTCACATAAAGTCTGGGATTTGCAAGATATGGTTGATTGCCACCAAGTCTTATGGCTTGAGAACTGTTTTCAGAGCTTCTTGTCAAAACTGCACATGGGGAAGCAAGGAGAAAATTGGTAGGTCCTTTTTTTTTTAATGTCAGCTATATGCCTGGCAAATAAACACAGTGATTTTTTATGCTTGTTTTTAAGGCAGATGCACACATAATAGGAATAATGGAAATGCACCTGTTTACACATGTGCCTACAACATTCCCCGTAACACTGAAATATTATACTTAAACATTTTTTTAAAAAACTGCTTATACATTTACCCTGAGGGGTAAACTCTGGATTCTTGTGATATGGAATCGTAGGCTTACATACCAAGAATTATTACTTGAATGAAGGTTAATTTAGCTAATACTAGTTCAAAAGAAACAGAGAAATTTTTTCATCTGTTCTGTCTGTGCTTTCCTGTGTAGCATCTTATAATTGAGAGGTTTAGAATGAGTGGGTTTTATTGTAAATGCCATATCCATCTGAGTACACATTTGGAACAATGCTGCTACTTCTCCCAGGGAACATTTATAGAAT